GTGCGTTGTACCGATAGCCGAATTAGGTCAGAAATGCCTCGAAGCAGCATCCACACTTAAATATGAACCCTTAAACAGTTGCATCACTGTTCACAGCGTTTGAATCATGAAGATATTTTATGTAATGCTTCCAAACACCTGTACCCGTAATAAAAGACGAAAAAATTGTGAACGATCAAGATGGCGGTCTCAAAGTGCCCTTGTTCGACCTTTACCAATGCCATGTTTAAATAGATGCCAAGATCTCATTGGTTCCTAAGCATCAACTCATAGTACCTTCAACCTAATTGGCTCTTGCAACAAACATCCCAACATACAAAGCCACAAAGATACATACGCTCACACCACTGACATATGAGCTATTTTTTCAAAATAGCTCAAAAAGCTGTTGGGTTTTTTTCCCTTACCCGTTGAAGGCCTTGAGAAAAGCCGTTGGAAAAAATCTGTTCTAAACCGTTGGAAGCGTTGGAAAAAGCCGTTCTAGCACTAAGCAGCGCTCACAAAAAACCGTTTGTCAAAACCTGTCAATTATACAGTGCTATATGTTAGCTAAGTGAAACGCAGAAAATATACAGCACAGCTAATTCCGCTCACTGCTTCGGGTCTTTGAATGGCTACTAATTATTGTTTAATCAGGGGAGGTGAATATAAATAACATCATGTCTACTTTGCGATTCTGGGCTTATCTGGCCGGCCATCAGCGGTAACAAACACGTCTGATCGTAACATGAACAATCTTTGGCTCTGAAATTGCGTTCGCAATCCTTGAAAATCTTCGAGTATCGATACCTTTTACTCTGCTAGGAAATATAGCGAGTTCTTTAAAGTTTGAGTTAATCTCCCGTAAAATTGAGCTTGTTTTTTTACGCGATGGAACTTGATACTCGTAAACTTTTGCGTTGCCTAGCACATGACTGCAACTACCGTGATGAAAATTGTGCGATGTTTCAAAAGCGGATTGCATTGCACGAGACTATATATTGCTCTCAAAGCTCAGAAGCTCCTGGAGGTTTCTGAAGTTATCTGAAGCTTTACATGTATATTCAAATCAAAACTTTTATGTACGCAATCACATCTCACGAAAAGCGAAGGGCGAAATATCAAACTGAGGTGCTATCGCGAATCATGAAACAGCAATTCAGGTACAAGCAATGTTTTCAGCGAAACAACACCCTGACTGCAGACACTGATGACCAGAAATTCAACTGTGATAATGCCGATGGACATTCACAAACAGGCAATCGAAAAAAAAAGTCGGCAAGTTGAATTCGAAAGACAAGCTGTTAGAACAAAGGCTACGAGAAGCGCCTTGAGACTTTGTTTACACACCGTCGATCGAACATTTATTTTACACAAACTTCCTTTTATTGTGAATTTGACAGATATAAAGTCATGGATTGTATTCAAGTTGCGCTAGTGAACTAACGACTTCTGCTATTTCAATGATGCAAAATACCGTTCGAACATTTCTATTAACGTTTCGACGCAAAGTATCATCCGAGCCTTGCGAATCAATGCACGGTGGACAAAAACGGCGAGCAAAGTTAGCTTGGCTCGCTTCACTCGCCGATTTTTCTGCGTTATATTTCCTCAACAGTGTTTTTTCTCTGTATTGGAGTTATTGTGGGGCTATGTAGGGCTTCTGATATTTCACGCGGTCGCGGAGCCGCGAAATTCAGGTAAATCCACGAAATTCACAAAAACACGAAAAATACCGCAAAATTTGGTAGAAATCTTATCAAATACATGTCTGTACAACATATTTGAAACTTACTTCAGCTATTGGGGCTATTTACTTGCTGTAAACTTGCAAATTTATCTTAGAACTTTGTCACTGAAACGTGCAAACAACATCTCGAAACTACCAGGCGTAGATTATGTTGCGAAAAACTGGGCACTAGCCATGATGTTAAAGGCTTTGCCATTGGTTCATTTCTGGAGCGTATTGTTGTTGATCGAAAGAGCAAACGATGACCTCTGTTAGAAAAACGTTAAAAA